ATATTTTTCATGCGAATTGTCGATCGGATTGGTGCAGCAGAATTTCTTATAGAAAAACCATAGGTAAATCGACGTGAATTTAAGAAATTCCCATACATCTATTCAAGACTACTGAAAGAAATCTCTTTGAAGCACATTGAGGTCAGATCACTTCAACAGGGTTGTTTCAACTGGGTAATTTTTACAGGACGTCTTATGTATAATATCCGGAATATACGACCAGAAGAGTTGTTGAAAAAGTGTATTTTAATTTCTGAATGGAGAACAGCAGAATAACCCAGTAGTATTAAATATCTCCTGTCGTCACGCAGTCGTGTTACGTAATACAATGGTGGGGGTGTTAGGTGGGGATGGCATAGATTACTCACAAACCGCGTGTGGAAGCAAGATATCCAGGGATGCTGAATGAGTGCTGAACTCATTTTATGAGCGTATGAGCGAAGCGATCATTTCTTGTTGGTCCCGAACTCGTTAAGGAGCAGTTTGAACCTGAAACATCTCCACTAGTCGGCGGATTTTCAGCAACCTTATGAGTAGTACATTATAAAGATATACATGTATCGCGATATCTCGAATATCGTAGCGACTGAAATATGAGGGGGCCTGGTGCAGTGCATTCAGTTGCCTGAGAACATCACAAACGAGAGATTCAGCTGGGTTCCAGGTAACTCTCTCGAAAAAACCAAATTAGTTTGCAAATGAGGGTATATTCGCTAATCTCCCCCAGTCATTTTATGGGCTCTGTTGTAAGCTGAGTGTATAAGAGGTAGAAACTGATTTTTTCCAATACCGTTTTCACGACTTACCTTTCAAAAAGTTCCTTCTAGATTTACCAGTGACCCAGTAAACAACTGGGAGTATTACGAACTGATTACATACAGCATGCTCACCAAACTCGTCAAAGCATGTAACCAATAGTCAGAATGCAGTAGAGGATATGAGAGCGATAATGGAGTGAGCAGGACTGTTGCTCACAATGTCAGACACTTTGTACTCATGGTTCGGTCACGGATATTGATAGGTGAGTACGTATATTTGGTAAATCACCCTCCAAAGCCCACTGGACGCAGTCATTTTTGTGGGACAACAAAGTATTGAATGTGGATTGACATATTCAGCAACTGTTTTCGGTAAGCGGAAACCGAATCACGGTTTCAGTTTGGAGGTCATCCAATAATCAGTAATTCAACTTAATATCGAAGGGTGTCTTTTTCTTGGATTTGCTGTTGACGCTTATTTGCTGAAAAGACAACGTGGGCCAATTAGTGACAGTGATACTAATCCAGCATCCACCACAGCAAGGTATCCGTGAGTAACTCGTCGCAGATTGTGTGTGACGCGGGAAGCTGTTTTGACTCTCCAAGAGAGTAGCCATCCTCTCGAAGGGTTAGGTTAACCAATGCTAAGGTAAACAGCATGGCAACCTGTGCATTGAAAATGTAATTTTGGAAGCCGTCCTGAGCTGCAACTTGAAGAATACATTTATCTACATCTAACTCGTCACTTCGCTCTACTCACCTTTCGGTGTTATCATCGAATGCTGAAATAGTGACTGATTTACCGATGTTTCCCATCTCACTTGACCGGTAACTCACCTCAAATCGTAGATATCCGGTAATTACATCAGGAGGGAAGGCTACAATGGGACGATTCACCACGAGGTTGCTGTAAACCACTCTAACCCTAATTGGTTCATCTAAAGTGCTCCTCCTCGTAAAACGCAAAATCTGTCCCCTAGAAACTGCGGTCAACTGCAAATTCCCGCTTCGTAAAACGACCTCAACAAGGTGACGATGACAATGTTAAACTACCCCAGTACAAGCAAGAAACGACTTCCTTTAGTACGCAGCATTTCATCTCAATGCGCTTCGCTTGAGCAGATTGTGGTTTCCGTACGGCTGGATACTGTAGGGGTGTGGCGCCGGCGGTTCTCACATACACACACATACACACGCATAAATACACTGAAAAGTTACCAATCGTGGCAGCATTAAATAAAGCTATGTTCTAAAGCAAGGAGCAGTTAACGTTGCAAAATCCCCCTCAGAAACCAGTATAACGATGAACAGATTGGTAGATTTCTCGACTCCGGGAGTTGGTAGTTTCGTATCGATACTGTCAGGTACGTAAATCACACTACCCGCTTCACCAGGACGCATGATGTTATTGTTTTTTTCTACGGTTGCTGGGGCATTATGATGCGCATGAGATTGGGTGCCTCAAAAACTTTGAACGTACCTGCGAAGCAAAAGAAAGCTGAGTAAACTTTAAGTCTCTGTGTGCGCTAGTCTGCTTGCTTTCCAATGTGGTCCAAGACTCGCAGCTAATTGAAGGGATGAATCACCCATACGGAGAAAAGCTTCTGAGGTCCAAACTGTTCTACGCACTATTGCGTTCGCCTTATGTCGACACTTTGTAGCACAGCCTACATACTTGTTGGGTAAGAGATTACTTGAATATACAAACGCGTAGACACATGTGTACGGTTAAAACAATCCAGGTTGTAGTTTTAACGACTGGCTAGGTCCCGTCCGTCTGTTTGCAGAACCGAAATCAGACGAAAACGATTAGAAGGACGAATAAGTTACCAGAAAGTAGTTCACGGTATGTAGGAATCAAACTGGAAACAAGCGGCCATAGCAACCATTGAGAGGCCGTCTACCACGCTGGTTGAATTCGCGCATCCATCCTACCTCCCAGTTCACCGGACCTAGCAGTGAACATTTAATTCTTAGGTAGTTGCTAATTAACCCATGTGACCACGATCCATCAAACACTGGCGCACATGTTGATTTAAATTATTAGCCCTGAGACCGAATTCCTCGATTGGCCTACAAGCTCTTTCCATATCCTGCTGTGTATATTTTTTCAAACATCTAGCCACGTCCACCATACCACCCCGACTATGAAAAACACACCGCACTAGCAGAAAGTTTTGCGCACAACACTAAACCTGTTCAAACCCGCCGACTTAAAGGAATCCGTGCGGATTAATGTCTACCACATTCCACTTCATTCAACCATGACACATCCGAAGAAAAGTCGGGGGTCAGGCTGACGCATCCGTTATCTTAACCTTGTCATCATCAGCCATATCTGTCGTCAGGGTGGGAAGCGGAGAGACAGCGAACAGTTTTTGAGTAATGCTGGCGAGCAAGCACACGAACGGGGTTGGGCGTGTGGTTTGCGGATAGGGGGTGGGAGTGGAGGTGTGCGATTTGCCGGCGAACATAGACGATGTCAGGTTTGAAGGCTATTAAGACGAGACAGTTTAAGCACAGATTTGCAGGAAGCCGCGCATGGAAAATACCCTAGCAACTGCAGTGATCTTGAGGTTTTGTTCACTCTTAGGACGTGTGCCCCGTATCTCTAGGTTTCAATAAACAGAGTGCAACGGCGACCATCCCCGATCATCACCATGTCCAGACTAGGAGTTGTTTATAGCTTTACTTACGTGCCTCGTTTGGAAATGCGTCACGAATCCATAGGTAGGTAGCAAGCATCTTGAGCCAGCTCATATTAGCTTGTGCAAAGCCGAAGCAGGATATGCTCTGGCAACAGTGCTTTGATGAGGGGGATGTCAGAGGAATTAATGTCTCGACGAGGCTTTTTATGGGTGGTTGATGTTTCGACCTAATAGTGGGTTTCCAACCGCATCATGGTCTTTTGCATACGCTATATCCGATTCTGCTCAACCAACTTTGATCCGTTTGAAATGCAAGCTCATAAAATGAGCCCTGGCAACCGATCCGAATTCCTTCCTTCCCCTGCGATTTCCTGTGCATCTACTTTTCGTGAAAAGAGTTCCCTTTGAAATGAAACTTCACGCAACGCGCATTCACTGTTACAATGATTTACATAGACTTTTCTGGTACTTCATATGAATCCTTCGGGTTCAGTTGTTTTTCCAATTTTTGACGAGTTTGCTATTCACAATTAGGCAATACTGAGTAGATTCACCAGTTTATCTGCTAAACGGTTGTCCATTTTGAATTCCTCCCGGCCTTTCCCTCATGCCTATTTGTTGCTCGAGAGAACCACGCCTAAAATTGTTTAGCCAACTTGCGCCTCTTGTCTCAGATGTTGCACTTCACAACACGTATGCCTTGATCTCACTCATCCACTGATCATTTGGTGGATGCAAGTATTATGGTTGCTTCTGGTTGGGCAATTTCGTCCTGGCGAACACTATTCCCTTCACACGATTGGTTGACTTACCTATTGATTTTTTTTCGTGTTGTAGCCTCATTAGTCAGCTTCATAGAACTGGTGCGCTTTGGTTCCGCATTCTGGCACTGAAATCGGCAGCAGATGTCATAACAAATCACCGCTGAGCTGACTCCTGAGAAGGCGGGTAGGAGCGAGCACTGTGGACCGTTGATTCACAAAAAGGCACTTGGTCTCACAGTGAATTTCTCTGGATGGGCAGCTGATTAAATTACTTAGGATTTATTAGCAACAATACATTGTTCAAAAGATAGCTCGAGGATCCGTTTTCTTCATCATCCTGGTGAATTACTATTGATCAGTGTGCGGAAATGGACTTGGTGGAATATACTGAGAACTTTGTATTGGCGAAATGCACTCATCTGCGAATCAGAAGACTCAACTGAATCCCAGCTGAGGCTTTCGTTTGTGATATTCTTCAAATGAATGTGCTCTACAGAGACCACCTTATGTTTCATTTGGTGCGATATTCGAGATATCACAGTATATTTGCTCGAAGGAAACAACTCATAAGGTTTCTGGGAAATCTTCGAGAACTCAAGATTGGTTTTGCCCCAGTTGTGGCTCATCAGGTAGACACAGTCCCCCAGTTTCCGTTGACCTGATTTGAACATAACTGAACCCAAATTACACGAGTTTCGATAAATCCACTCGTTTGCTTGCTAGTTTGGTTTTCACGGGAGTAGAACATGAGGTTGACGGAAACTAGAGGACTAAGCCTACCTGACGAGTCAAAAGAAGGATGAAATCAACCGTGGGCTGCCGAAGACATTTCAGCAGCCTTGTGAATAGTTCACTTTATGAAAATACACTACGGTATCCCGAATATCGTACCAACTGAAACATGAGGCGGCCTGTGTGCAGCACTTCAGTTGAAGAACGTCATAAACAAGAGATTCACTTGAGTCTCCTGCGAAAACCAGATTGATTTGCAAATGAGTGCATTTGTCGCAATCAGTCCAATTTGGATTCAAATAGAACATAGGTTTGGCGGAAACTCGGGAACTGCGCCTACCTGATGAACCTCAAGAAGAACGAAAACGGTCGTGGGCTGTCAAGAGTTTTCAACAACCATACGAGTAGTTTTCTTCATAAAAATATTATGCAATATCTCGAATATCGCAGCAACTGTAAATTGAGGTGGCCTGTGTGTAGCACATTTAGTTCAAGACCCTCATCATCGGAAGATTCAGCTGGGATTCAGGTGAGTCCTTCGCGAAATCGAAATTGATATCCAAATGAGTGAATCTGTCGAGGGGTGATCTCCTTAATTTGTGTTGGTCATGCACCTTTCGTCCATTTGTTCACAAATATCACAGAGAAACTCATCTACGATGCATACATCTTTCAAGAACTACACCTGAGTTGGGCAGATAAACTGACTTCAAAATGAGGTCACCACCACTCAGAAATTAGGTACTGTTGCTTCACTAACCAGCGGTAAAACCGCGGCTTTCCTACTCCAGGAAATAACTGTTGAAGGAGTAGTCTCCCAAGCTCTGGCTGACAAAATTTCGCAACGAGAATAGCGATCAAACGCGTTTAAGTATCAATATCAAATCCCAATATCGAACGTTCTGGCCGAATCACCCGTAATATCCCACCAGTCCAGCTGTGCTGTTTATACGAATCCTGTTTCGGGCATTCAGTGTGTGCGTGACGCTCAAGGCGGTAGAAGAACAATACCTGTTTGAAGATGAAGTTGAATTTGGATTCAACTTCATTTGGATGAAGTCAGAATTTGGATAGTCATCATTTATTTGGGTACAATGGATTATTCAGCACGCGTAATGATGTTCACACGCCTTGGTCAGGCAGCCTCTTGTGAAGCATCAAACCATTCAGTTTTGCTTCTTTTCCACAACATCAAGTTACTTTGTCACCCGTTCCTTCTACTTTTTTCCACATAAACGAAAAGCGGTATCCTAGCAACGATGTTCCTTTCAGGTGCAGCGCAAAACATAAAACGTGTTCTCTTCATTGTTTTGTAATCGCATGATTCAGCAACCTTCTGTTTCTATTGTAGTACGCCTTCGGCCGAAATCCGTTGGTCTCACAACTGGGAACTCGTGCGTCATCTGTCTGTTCATTTTTAGGCCAAAAAGCCGCCTTCCAATTCAACTTAGTCATGGTTCTAACGATTGTCTTTCTTGTGAGAACAGACGTTCATTTATGTCCTCCAGTTTCGTACCGTTATCCATTTTAGAAATGTCACTGTTATGTTAGCGTACAGAATTCAAAGTTTACTTTTCGTTAGCCGACTGTTACTTTCAGAGTTCTGCAAAAGCATCATATCAGAGGTACACCTATTCGACATCAAGCACAATTTTGTGACATCAGTTTTCTCGCCATGTGAACAACGACTCCGCAGTTCTGAACTGGTCAAAGATTGCAGCATGAATGGGTTTATTTTTTCAATTCAAATAATCGATAACTTGATGGACTTTCACAAATAGCTATTCCACTTGGCCCCGTGAAATATGATTGGACGAGCAAAGCATCGGTTATCAGGTTCCCGGAAAGTCTGATTATTTCAGTGGAAAGAACGTAATCGATTTGAGACTTACTTTTGAATTGCCACGAAGAAGTTTGGGGTACCCACTCCTGTACATTTTAGAGTTTACATTGTAGCGACTCTCGTTTATGATGTTTTTTTTTCAGGTAACTGAATTTGCTGCACCAGGTCGTTTCATGTTTCAGTTGGTAAGAGATTTAGCTGGGGTCCAGGTGAGTCACCCGTCAAAACCAAACTGGTGTACAAATTAGTGCATGTCGCTGATTTCGTGCAATTTGGGTTGAATTAGAACTCGGGGACTGCACCTACCTGATGAGCCCCAAGAAGGATGAAACTGGTAGTGGGGTGTCAGTGTTTTCATCAATGTTACGAGTAGTATATTATGTCTATACGCACATAAATTTTTCGAAATAGTCATGTCCGCGGTACCAGGTCACGTTGACCACTCACACACTGATCTCGCCCTTTTGCGAGCTTGCTTAATAGGCCGTCTCCTAGTTTCCTTCAAACCGATTTCTTACTTGCAAGTGAGTGTAAAACCAAACCAAGCGGATCAATCTCGGTCATTTAGTTATCTCAGAACTCCACACCAATGGCAACTGGTCAAGTTGAGAATGCTCTTAAATATTCCTACCCTACTTTCACTAATGTCTGCACACCGGTCGGAATTTCGCAGCAGTAGCGATGCCCTAAAAAACGAGCCTTTGGAACTAATAACCTTGTGTAGCCTAGGCATCGTACAACAAGCAAATATATCCTTATTCACAATGAACAGCGACAAAACTTCGCAGGCAGTTTGTGGCCCGTGCACGTTAAGGGTGTATAATACCGTTCATGGAAAAAGCCCGACAGTCAGGACCTTTAAAAATGTTGATTGGCATCCAATCAGTAGTCCACCTTCAGAACACAGTAAATTATCAGCCAGCTAGCAACATTACACCGTTCCACATTCATGAGTCAGACTGAATGACAGAGATTCGTAGAAAAAAGCCCGCAGCTATTAACACATTGTTTTTTGGAATTGGTCCAAGTCTCCTATCTGGTTCAGTGGACTTACCCCAACTCTTACGTGAATTCCAATGGCGAGCCCAAATATAGGGTATCTCTTGTTGCGTTCCATGTTCACGTGACACAGTGTAGCAAGAGAAAGAAAACACCTGGACTTGGCCACGGTAACATTCTTGGAGCCGAGGATAATAACCACACACTACTCATTAGGTTGCTGGAGATTCGTCGACCTTAGGAGTAGTGCATTACAAAGATATACATGTATCACGATATCTCGAATATCGTAGCGACTGAAACATGAGGCGGCCTGGTGCAGCACATTCAATTGCCTGGAAACATCACAAACGGGAGATTCAGCTGGGTTCCAGGTGAGTGTCTCGAGAGACCAAATTAGTTTGTAAATGAGCGTATATTCGCTAAACACACACTATTTGTTACCACGAATATGGAATAAGCCTACATGATGAGCCTCAAGAAAGGGGTAATCAGTAATGGACTGTCAAACAGCTTCCAGCAACCTTATGAGTAGCGTGCTTTGCCCAGTAAAGTTGACTCACTTCGTCATAAGTTAAAAACAATAACAGTTAATTGGTAAAATCTGAATAATCTTTTTGGTAAAAAAACAAGCAAACAAACAAGGTAAAACAATCTGTACAATTCCGGTAAGGTCGAAATGTTTTTCCCCACATAAAAGACATTCTTCAAAATGTACAAAAATATATAATTGTTCGAAAATCTGGTTGTCCACCATTTTTGGATATAAAAATATCTCTCTGGAAAAATCTCTTTTGTACAAATAATGTCTTTTAAAAGATTCCTATATCGCTTGGTTACTGGCGCTCCTGGAACTGGTAGTTTGCGTGCTGGATGAATCAGAGTTTGAGAGGTTGAAAGAGATGGGTGTTACGTAACTGCTACCTGGGTAGCAACCAGATTGAGTCAACTGAGAGGTGAGACGATGCACAGTCTGGATATTTGACAGAGGCGTACTTGCCGACATCAGGTCACATGGGTTCAATATATTTTCCGGCGGCGTGTGTTGCTTTGACTCCGAAACCGTCGTATGATACGGATGTGTCGGTGTTGATAAGCTATAAATGTCCACCTTTGAGGATCCCTCGGGCATCGAAGTCTGTTGATTGCTCGATGCTGTCCAAACGGAATTAGTGCCGGTCAATGTGGGCACACAGCTGAGGTCGCTGGTAACAACAGCGCCGAGATGTTGAACACCAGTTTCTTCCAAACCGCTATGCATGGTTCGAAATTCACTACTAAACAAACTCGAACTGCCTCCAGTTGGTGGGGACGGTGTTGACCAAGATGCATTTAGCCCACCAGAATTGGATTCACTATTACCGCCATTTGTACCCAAAGCTCCAGAGGACATTTGAAGTAAGTTCTGCCTGTAGAGGGAGGTTGGGGTTAGGCTGGTTTGATAGTCTGTCTGAATGCCTCGTTTGTGCGACGCTGAATCATGGTCGTACACCGCACTCCCCGATCGGAACTCCTGATCGTATAAGTTTTTCACAAAGGCACCGCGAAGCTCGCACTGATAATTGCTATTGTTCGATGAATAATCTGACGCTTCCAGTCCACCATAGAGTGAAGCATAAGCGGAATTCAGACCGTATGTCGAGGAGAAGTTCGTAGCTGATTCGCCAGTTCCGAAATTGGTATACTGACTTGGCATAAATGAGTCTGTGGCTGAGATGACTTCCGGGGTCGACAGCTTGCTGAAAGAATTCAGTTGTTGATGCATGTCAGCATACATACCATTCAAGCGACTGTTAACCAAACATCCGAGGAGAGGCGGCCCTGGAAATACGGGTTCTCCTTTGGACTGCGTCGACATTGTTTGTTCCGTCATTGATCGCGTAGAATCTGAAGCAAACAGGGATAGATAGTTAAGTTGCGCGCGACCACTGCGAGGATAAAATAGCTTTTCAACTTACTGTTTAAACACACTACAATACTAAACCGATGGCTCGCATAGCATGACCTTCTATCGTAACCCTATGCTTGCCTCCTGCGATAAAAAACCTTTATGGTTGATCTGTAATACTGGGGTGTATTCATATCGGTTAGTAGTAACCCATCAAGCAAAAGAGAAATTTCGGGGAGCGGAAGCGAAAAATGGTTGCTTCCGATGCACAGTCTACTATCTCCGTGGATGGGAACAAAGTGATTAGATTGTTTCAAATCCAACATGAAGCATTTGGACATGAGTAGGTTTGATCAGCGTTGAACTTAACTGTTACTATTCTGTCTACTTCCGATATATATATATATGTATATATATA